GGCAATTTTGTAACCATCAACCGAAATTTCGCTCGAATTAATATCGCCTCGTAAGTGGGTTTCAGTAATGGCCAAGACATCCAGTCTGCTGTCCAAGAGCAGCAGTCTTACCTCATTGATCTTTCCGATGATTCCTCTCACGTTCAGATGTGCTATCTTTAGGCCTTTGTGGTCGGTTGTAATTTTAACTTTGAGATCATCGTGGATTCTGCCGCTATAGTTCGTAGCACATTCCTCCACTGGTGTCACATTAGTGGTTGCTGGACTATTTGTAGAAGAATTACTGATTGTCGAGTTCAGTGAAGTATTAGAGGAGGGAGAAACTGATGATAAACAGAACCTCACTTATATGTGCACGATCCTTCGCAGTAAAGCACTATTTAAGCAATAGTGAAAATCAGACCTGAAAAAAATTCAGGCCTGTACGGGATTCGAACCACTGACCTCTGCGATACCAGTGCAGCGCTCTACCAATTGAGCTAACAAGCCAACTGGGAGCAGGCCATCAAATTAATTCGACATAAACCCGTAGATGATAAATCAAACAACAAATATATATGAAATACATATATATGAACTGCGGTTATGAAACGTATATGTGCACGATCCTTCGCAGTAAAGCACTATTTAAGCAATAGTGAAAATCAGACCTGAAAAAAATTCAGGCCTGTACGGGATTCGAACCACTGACCTCTGCGATACCAGTGCAGCGCTCTACCAATTGAGCTAACAAGCCAACTGGGAGCAGGCCATCAAATTAATTCGACATAAACCCGTAGATGATAAATCAAACAACAAATATATATGAAATACATATATATGAACTGCGGTTATGAAACGTATATGTGCACGATCCTTCGCAGTAAAGCACTATTTAAGCAATAGTGAAAATCAGACCTGAAAAAAATTCAGGCCTGTACGGGATTCGAACCACTGACCTCTGCGATACCAGTGCAGCGCTCTACCAATTGAGCTAACAAGCCAACTGGGAGCAGGCCATCAAATTAATTCGACATAAACCCGTAGATGATAAATCAAACAACAAATATATATGAAATACATATATATGAACTGCGGTTATGAAACGTATATGTGCACGATCCTTCGCAGTAAAGCACTATTTAAGCAATAGTGAAAATCAGACCTGAAAAAAATTCAGGCCTGTACGGGATTCGAACCACTGACCTCTGCGATACTAGTGCAGCGCTCTACCAATTGAGCTAACAAGCCAACTGGGAGCAGGCCATCAAATTAATTCGACATAAACCCGTAGATGATAAATCAAACAACAAATATATATGAAATACATATATATGAACTGCGGTTATGAAACGTATATGTGCACGATCCTTCGCAGTAAAGCACTATTTAAGCAATAGTGAAAATCAGACCTGAAAAAAATTCAGGCCTGTACGGGATTCGAACCACTGACCTCTGCGATACTAGTGCAGCGCTCTACCAATTGAGCTAACAAGCCAACTGGGAGCAGGNTTTTCAGGTCTGATTTTCACTATTGCTTAAATAGTGCTTTACTGCGAAGGATCGTGCACATATACGTTTCATAACCGCAGTTCATATATATGTATTTCATATATATTTGTTGTTTGATTTATCATCTACGGGTTTATGTCGAATTAATTTGATGGCCTGCTCCCAGTTGGCTTGTTAGCTCAATTGGTAGAGCGCTGCACTGGTATCGCAGAGGTCAGTGGTTCGAATCCCGTACAGGCCTGAATTTTTTTCAGGTCTGATTTTCACTATTGCTTAAATAGTGCTTTACTGCGAAGGATCGTGCACATATACGTTTCATAACCGCAGTTCATATATATGTATTTCAGAACCTCACTTGTTCACTTGAAAATCCACGCTGAAAGATATTTTTTACAGAATGGTTTCAAATACAGAAAGAGTTTGTAACACCATTTGAAGAAATGTCGCCACCAGAGCTAAACAAATGTCTTCAGAAATTTTATCTGTCAGCGAGAAAACGAGACGGCAGTTTTTACAAAAAAAAAATATCTTACCTTGATCCGAGCCGCGTTGGATCGTCACGCGCGGGAAAATGTTGGAATCATTGCTGGAATGTATGAATTAAAATCAATTTTTGGTGGTGTATATTATCTCACTGTTTTAGTATATACTAAAACAACTATTCATCTCAGTGCCGGTGGTTAGCGGTGGATATTTACCTCGCCGCTTCACGGCTCGGTAAATATCCACCACTAACCACCTCCACTTCGGTGAATAGTTGTTAAACATACTCCAAGAGATATTCCCCAATTTTCAAACTTACCGCAATTACGATAAAAGTGTTCCTCATAATTGAATTCAGGATGAGAGAGTATTTGGTTCTTGTTACAAAGGAAGTGACATGACTGTTTGTTCGTAAAGTCGAACCATCCTACGCGCAGCAAACAGTAAATCTTTCGTAAACGTTTAAAGGATAATAAATATAGTAGCCTCCATTTGGTGAGAAGTGTACCTTTCGTATATTTGTCCTTGGACATTTTATGTTCCTCGAAGCTTACAGTTTTCCTCCAGCTCAGCTCTCAGAAATTTGTTCGCACCTCGGAACAGATAATATCCGCGGACAAATATCAGTGCAAATTTTGGCGACAAATAAAGGGTATTTTTTTCACCCTATTTGGTTGGCCAATTTTCAAACGCATGCATGAAATCTCAAAATGATGACAACATTAACTCGCATAGTAAATTCGTATTTTCGTTCGCACTTTGACTGAGGGGAAAACAGCATTTTTTGTCCGCACCTTTGGAGTTTTAGGTGAATGTGGGCCACTTGGATAATCAAGAGCAATTCCAGCCTTTTCCAAGCATCTCTCGAGCGTGTTTATCAAGTTATTGTTCTCTCAAAAAAGCCATTAGCGAAAATACACAAGATGTACTTCAGATTAAAACTTGATTATCCCCTTTCTGCAGGTGTCACGATGAAGGATATTTTACTGGAAAAAGCGAACTAGCCGACGCCTGTCTGCCTAGCTTGCCCTGGCAGTGTAGATGCTATAAAATGGTAGTGGAACCATAGAACTAGACTTTTCTCTGATGTACTACAAAGAGAAAACAGCCACAGTAGAGTTTAAAGCCAGCATTATCACGCCACTTGAAAAAGAATAGTTTGTTTATTTAACTAATCTGATATAAGATTATTAGTTATTAAGGCTCAGAATCAATTCATGGAGACTTTATTAATTCTTTAGTAAATGCGAGAAGGCTCCCGGTGCATCCCGACAGGAGTAAAGGTACCCAGTCTCCGCTGGTGCCTACACGACCGTTAGAGTCTACGCTAAAGGCTCAGAATTATCAGCATGTTACTGTTTCTGCTAGTGTTTTAACGCATCTTTCCTTAGTTTCTAAATACATACCGTTTTGCTCGACAAAATTAATGTACTGGTTGTTCTTATCCAGATGGTTAATCTCGTCCTAATCCTTTTTCTAATCCTGATGTATGTTGCAGTGAGAAAGGAATTTAAGCGATTTTTATAGCTCGCAATGCGGCTGCCATTTTACTGACCAACAACGTGTTGTGTCTTACTGCAGAAAAGTGACGCCAATCCCTGGTTAAAACGGCCGACCGAACTTTAATAATCACTACCTAAACTAGAGTTACACAATATATCACAACCTCAATATGCATGCAACTTAGCTATATATGTTTACTCTCTGGGACCTCTCATGTCATGTATCTTACACCTAGTGATGGTTCCTATTATTTAAATCCTAATTCATTAACACTATAACATTAATTAAACCCTAGTTCATTAACACTATAACATTAATTAAACCCTAGTTCATTAACACTATAACACAACGCAAATACAGAAGAAGGCTTAGGAACGAAAGAAATATTTCAATCAACTATTACCTATGGGAGAATGACACACCTAAATCCCCTCAGGGAACCCTTTGTGCTGAAAACCCCTAGTGACGTCAAGCAATCAAGTACCCACTCTTGGGAGAGATGCGCCTAGCTATCCCGAGTACACATTTTGATCCTAACGGCTGGACTTAAAAGAAACTTAACTCCACGAAATTCCGGCAGAAGACTTCCTCTGCTCGATAGTGAAGAGAAAGCACTTTGCAAAGAGACCCTGTGAACGAGCTTATAGCCTTTAGCGCCGTTGACCTGCTACGTAGACCACTGAATATCAATCAATCAATCAATATCAGTAACAGTTTATTGTGAATATACACTTAGCTACATTAAAAGCGTACTTTAATTTACAGACAGAACCGGAATCGGTGTCTGCGAGAGCACGCCAGCTAATTCACAGGTATTCCGAAAAACACAATAAAATTAAAGTTAAAAGTTGAATATGGAATATACTATAGTTATAATTATAACAATAAAATCGTAATAATTATATCTTGTATCGAAATAAATACTGAATTCAATGAAAAAGCGTAATTTATTTCTCTTTTTTCAGTTACTTTTATAACGAACGATTACGCCATAAGCGCTGTGGATATGAAGATAGTCGTGGTGGCACTTAATTTTCCTTGTATTGAAATTGCTGCAGATGTTTAACAAGTGCCTCATAGTTTCTGCATAACCACCCCTCGTAAAATGAGATATCCGCCTTTCTTCCGGATTTGATCCTCATGGCCGGCTTCTCTGAGGCATGAGGGTGCGTTCCTTTGGGAGGAACGGGTCAGGACTTTCTGTTAGTAGACGAAAATAAAGACGGAAATCGTCAACATGTTATTGTTTCAATGTTAAAGATAACGAAGGCTTTTGACAGCCTACATGTTGGATTCGAAAGTACGCTCTACAGATAGGAAGGAAATAAGAGAAAAGTGAAGTTAGAAATAAGAGATATTCAGACCCCCCTGCCGAACTCTCGTCGGCCATTCGTTGCTTCAGGCCTCAAACTCGTTCTCACACGTGGAAATGCTCGTGCCGAAACGCTATCGATGGGGGCCTGCTTATTACGAATTCGGCAATGTTAATTTATGCATGTAACCCCGTTTACCCGTAACTGATTTGCATTTCTTAGCTGCCTGTTATTATCTTTGTCACGGAGCTGGAGCGGCTTGCTGACCTTCGAGATACGAAATCGACAAGTGTAAGTTTTACTGAATTTGACTTTTTTTCCCTTTGGATTTATCTAGTTACGAAAATTGCATCAAAGCTTGTCGATCACATAAACTGTCTTAATGACTAAAACTCAATCAGAACTCTCTACGAAAGCGTACAGGGAAGACAAGTTGTGATCGTGTGGTGGAAATTGCATTTCGAACGAATGACTTGTCACAAACGAATTCGAATGGTTAAACTAACATTCAGACGAATGCCTATTTTGTGTGATGAGAAATGAATTTAAGTGGACTAAAAGGAGTGAGATAAGTTTTTCTACGATCCAAGTCTTACTAAGAGTTACATAACAATTCCGTAGCGTTACGTCACGACGGTAATATTATTGTCTAAGCGTCTGAAATGTTTTCCTGAGGGTTTCAATATGGCTTGATCTTTCTTCTTGTCGTGCAACTTGTCTGTTGGAAAATTTGGCGAAAATTATAAGTGGGCTTTTATTCTGAGATCGCCGCTTTTCAGAAAGAAACGGGAGGAGAATATATGAATTAACAATTTGCCACATGTTAATTTCACGTGTATCGCATCTCGCCTATGAGGATCACGTTTTTCCCTGTGGTCATGCTTAAGATTTCGGTCCTGTTCCTGTGTGACTTATGCAATTCTTCAAATGAAACAAAACCTTATTTTATAATGTCAGGCCATTTTTTCGTTTAGTCAAGGGGTCAATAGGATAGTTGTGAAATCAACATTGAATGTGTAAAAGCAGGATGGCGTTGGTGCGCCAAAATTTGACCTCTCGAGGTTATGTTTTTTCCGTGTCGTAAAATTCCACTCGTTGAATTTTTACACACCTAAATCAGCAAAGTGCCTAAGGAATACATAGAAAACTGTATAAAGCAAAACAAGCCTCAGCAAAGATAGTGATGATGAATTATAATCTCTGAAAAATTATTAGGAGAAAATTACCAATTAGGATCTAATACTTAGCAAGATTTCCGTTGGAAACCTTACTTCATTTGCATAAAGCTCTTGGATAAAAGAAACCATTGGATCAACTTTGGGACCATGGCTTTGTTTTAATATGTTATGGGGTTGCACGGAAATCTTTACGACATCTAGGTTTGGAAAACAAACGTTACCTTCCTGGGTAGAAAAAGATAGCAAGATAAAATTAATACCGAATATTTTTCAGACTGAACCTGTATATGATAATTTTAAATGTTTAGAACAAACATATGGTCTATTTGAATACCAAAGGTGAACGTCTTTGTACCTATTTTTCACCAAAAATTCACCATAAGCCGTCTTTATCTGGAAAGGAAAGTAGACTATCATCAAACGCCTAACAACTTCTTTTAGAAGTGAGGCAGTGCCTATACGATTATGGACAAGTAACTTAGTTAAGGCTAACATTTTTCTGGAATGTCTCCTCTTGCGTCAGCAATATTCAACATAGATCATGGGTAAGGAATAAGGAATGAAAAGTGCCAAAGGTTAGAAAAATAAAGTTGAATGATTTCGCTACAATGGCGAAAGCAACAGACATCGCTGATAATGTCTTTACGAAGTGGTATTTTTTCTACCGATCATTTTTTTTCAAATGTTACTCTCCCCCCCCCCCAACCCCAAACCTGAGTCAACTACTTTTGTTTAAATGTCTCGCACAACATACCTTCAGAATCTTAGCAAACTTGAACAGTATCTAGAAGACACGTCTCACTTTCAATTTTTAGTTATTTCAGTCATTTCTTCTCCGCCTCTCCGATTACGGGATCCGACAGCGGGTTTGATTTACAGGGTGTACATCAGTATAATACATTTTAAAAATCCAGCATTTATCACAAAAGATGCCCCTACCGTGTCATCGTTTTAGTATTCGTGTTACCATCCAGGTACATTTTACTTAGCTACACCTTATTTTTTTTTTGTTTTTTTTTATGTCACAGTCGAGGTATGTTGGTGTACATATGTCTGGTTTTGCTTACCATTCTGCCCCATGAGGCTTTATCGACCCTAAAACAGATTAAACCCTGTCCAGGAGACACAAGGGGAGACAGGTGAGATGCGTCATGAGTTATTTATGCAACGGTATTGTTTATTAATGTTATGCAGTTCAAAGTAAGCCACTTTCAGTGATAAATATGCAGTACGGTACGGTCAAGATTAAATTTGATGTCCTCTGGATTGCAATTTGTTAAAAGGAAACAACGCTTTGCAGAATTCGCGTTAAGGATATAGGCAGATAAAGTCGCGTTGAATTTAAAGGAATTTCTAAGAGATAGAGTGTTGTCATGGTAACTTATTCATTTTAAAGATGACTATAGGCCGGCAGAAACAAATATTTACTGAATTGTGATTGTATGATCTTTGGACCCATGGGCTCTAAATGAAAAGTAAGAAAACCCGTAAAACTTTCTCAAAACATTGTGCAATACCAATACCTCCTAAGCCAGTAGCGTACCTACGTCGTTTCTCTAAAATCATTTACAACTGACTGATAATAGCTCACTCATTTTGGGTCATGCTATCTTATCTAGTAATCAGATCGTTTCCTTGGCCTCTTGGCATATTAGTCACAGGACATCCTGGCCATCCTATTTGCCACTACAAAGGTCACTGTCACCAGATAACTGAGCTCTGGTAACATGGACTGACTTGAAGTGCCTATGGAAAATGGAATCTTTCAAGACACCCCAGCTGATCTTTCCAATAGTTGTCCCAGTATAATTAAATTGTTTTTCAATTATTATAGCTATTATTATTTGTTTATTATACTATTATTATTGTCATTGTTATTATTAGAAGTACTTTCGTAGGTAAATTTAATTGCTTTATCTCTTAACAGGCGTTGCAGTCACGACCCGACACATCGAGTTTGTGCCAAGATTGGAGATCCAGGCACATCTTTTTGGAAATTTACAGGACAAACCTCTTGGTGTGGGTCAGTGAGTAAGTATGCTGTGCCTTATGCAAACCTAAGTAGGGTGAGATAGGACGTCCCCCACCTCGTATTTGCCACTTCCTTTTAGTCTTCCTCATTTCATTCAGCCACCCTGAAGGTAAGTGATATGGGGCTGCGTTATCATGGATATGCATATGGTCTGTTTTCAGTCATGGCAGGTATGGCTGGGCCAAGTTCTGTCTGAATGTAATATTTTAGGAAAACTCACTCCAAATGACATCTACCTTTCATTGTCATAATGGACCGGAAGTTGTCTTCCGGTGCTCGCACTGCGAAATGATTTTGTACATTTTGGAACTAAGGAGTGTGTCTTTTCTTAAGCCTTTCTCGAGATAAAAGAAAGATTAGTAAGGATGCCTTCCCAAAGACTTGTTTATTGCCAAGAAACTTCTCATCCTCAAAAACTATTACTTCTTAACTGTCGCCGGCTATAATTTTCTTTTTTGCAACCAGATGAGTTTAGAAAAAGTTAGTAGGATCGGTTTTTCAATAGGCTATAATGGGAAAATGGATTTACTCACTTCGGGCCAATCGACCCGTAATCGAATCTCGCCGTCAAGATCCAAAGTCTTCATCTCACGAATGAAAACGTGATAAACTCGACAAAAGAGCGATGAGCCATTGTTAAATACCTTTTGCCTGATTGCCCATATAATTCTTAGTGTTACTTTTGCTGACCAAAGAAGCCCATGATTGCTCCTCATTGTAAAACTGATTTTAAAACTTGCACATGTGAACTCAAGTTGCGTTTGTTCCTGGTGTAACTGTTATTTATTCACAACGATTCCCGCAGGTGATTACGGTGATGAAAATGATGGAAAACAGAGGTGTCCCCTTAACACTCCAACTTGGTGCATTTGTAAGTGGGCGACCGCTAAGTGGATAAAGGGAGAGGGCTGCAATGAAGTAAGTGAAGTACATATATCTTATTAGACGTTTTGTTGTGTAGTATCGCTGAGTATTTTTACGAGTTGTGCCGTATTTTGACTAGCCCGTAGGGTGAGTCAAAATACAAATAACGAGTAAAAATACTCAGCGATACTACACAACAAAACGTCTAATAAG